TACCTCCTCCTCTATATACCCATTCAAGAAAGCACTCTTTACGTCCATTTGAAAAAGATTGAACCCTTTGGATGCAGCAAAGGCAAGCAAGATCCTAATAGCTTATAAACGGGCAACAGGGGCAAGGGTTTCCTCATAGTCTATCCCCTCTTTCTAGCAAAACCCCTAGGCGACCAATCTAGCCTTGTTCCTAATAACCACCCCATCTTCCCCTTGTTTGTTTTTGAAAACCCATTTTGTGTCTATTGGGTGACAGTCTTGTGGGGCTGGAACTAGGTGCCAGACTTGGTTTCTTTCAAAATTTTCTAACCCCTCATGCATGGCGTTTACCTAGTTAGGATCAGAAAGCGTGTGTCCAACATCTTGTGGTTCAAAAGATGCGACAAAAGCAGCATGAGCAAAATGGGAGAGAAATTCTGACCTGGATCGAGTGACTCGCTCACCAATATCACCGATCATCTGCTGGGGAGGATGCATGGCCTCGATATGTCATGGCGCCATCCTCGAAGATGTGGCCTCCCCCTCAACAGCAGTTGGAGTTCCTCCAGGTATAGCTGGTACTAACTCTGACTCCATCGGCCCCTAGGAAGTAGAAGAAGTCACATCGGGGCCGACCGTCGAAGTGGAGGTCATGGGGTCGACTGGGGTAGCAGGTGGGGGCTGCTCGAGATCACCCCATTCTCCATCCTCCTCATCCTCCATGAAGATACTCTCGCCCATCTCCCTTTCATCTGCATGCCTAAACACAGAAGTCGAACTAGGCATGGTTTCATCAAATGTGACCTCGTAGGTCTCCATGATGCGGTTAGTCTCTAGGATTAGCACACGATAAGCACGAGAATGTAAAGCATATCCCAGAAAAATACCATCGGAGGATCTAGACTCAGATTTGTCCAACTTAGCCTGCTTGAGCACAAAGCATCTGTAGCCAAAGACTCGGAGATGGCTTACCTTGGGTGACCGTCCAAACCGCAACTCATATGAAGTCTTGTGTAAATGAGCACGCAAGAAGACATGGTTTGAAACATAGCAGGCGGTGTTGATTGCCTCGACCCAAAACCTTCTAGGAGTCCTATGCTCATCGAGCATTGTCCTAGCCATCTCAACAAGGGTCTGATTTTTGCGCACAACAACACCGTTCTGCTGAGGTACATACGGCAAGGAAAACTGATGCTCAAGATCTAAAGAAGCACATAAGGTTTCAAAATGAGTGTTCTTAAATTCGGTGCCATTGTCACTGCGTATAGCTCTCATGGCATGTTTAGGTAACTCATTTTGCAACCTCAAAATCAAGTCCTGAGCAAAATAAAAAGCCTCGTCCTTCGCCTCCATGAAAAACACCCAAGAGTAGCGAGAAAAACCATCCACGATCACAAGAACGTACCACTTCCCCCAAGAGAGCGCACCCGAGCTGGACCAACTATGTCCATGTGTAAAAGCTCACCGGATCACTTGGTCATCACCTTGGTGACCGGGGAATGAGAAGCGGCAACCATCTTCCCATGACGACACGGGTGGCAAACAAGATCCTTCTCATACCTCAATTTGGGCAATCCTTGGATTAGGCCAAGAGAGCTCAACCTAGCAAGTAGATCAAAATTCAAGTGACCAAGCCTCCTATGCCACTTCCACAAATCTGAGGAAGGACCAGCCACCAAACACCGAGAGGGTCCAGAAGAGATAGAAAAATCAGCTCGAAAGACCTAGCCGAAAGGCAAAATTCGGCAAATCAAATCCTCCTGAGAACCCAAAACTCGAGAAAAGCCTTATTAAAGCGCACACTTAGCAACAACTGGCGCAGGCACAACGTCTGAGCTAGCCTTCTCAAGCACAGCTATCCTAGTAGTTTTTTTCCGCTAGCTCAGACTGCAAACTAGGACAAGACTAACAAGCGCCCAACAAGCTAGATCTAGACTTCAACTCATCATGCTCATCTAGCATAGAAGAATACTTGGACTACAAAGTGGTAATGGTCAACATGTAAATAGCACAAGCATCACACTCAGTCTCGTCGGTCACAACCACTAAAGAAGCTCTAGCAGTCTCAAGCTCCTTCTCTAAGGACACAACCTTGTCCTTAACCTCCTTCCTATCACGAGCAGCACGCCTAAGCAACTTGTCCTGACTCTCTAAAGCGGCGCTCAACTCATCTACCTCCTTAAGAAGGTCGTCGGAGGCCATGTCATCGTCGTCGCCCTTGTCGTTGCCGCCCACCGTCTCATCACCAAGCGCCATGGTACAAAGCCCTCCGGTGGTGTCGGTGAAGAAGCAGAGGTCGTTCAACTTGTCCTCGATCTTCCACTCAGACTCATCGTCGCTCGAAGAGGAAGAAGAACGATCCGAGCCAGAGTCGTGGTCGAGGTCGCTGAGGGAGGCGAGGAAGGCGTGCTCCTTGAGCTTGGCCCTGTGGAGGTACTTCTGCTTGAGCGCCTCCTTGTCGAACCTCCCCTTGGACTTCCGCTTGCTAGAGGTGTACTCGCGCTTGCCCTTGCGCCGGCCGGAGGTGTACTTGCGCTCTCTAGCGTCCTGCTTGCCCTTTTTGGGGCAGGTGGCGATGAAGTGGTCGGGGTTGCCGCAGTTGAAGCAGACCTCCTTGCCTCCGCCACACCGCCGGTTCATGCGGTTGTTGTGAAACCGCGCAAACCGACTGGCCACAAGCGCCAACTCCTCGTCCCCAAGAGACCCAACATGCTCCTCTAAAATAGACAGCAAAGAGGACAAAGCAAACAAAGCAGGTGAAGGGTTAGCATAAGAACCACCAGAGAATAGGGCCATGGAAGAAGCATTCGGATCCGTAAGCTTGGCCCGAGTCTGGTGAGCAATCTCGGTGGACTTGAGCTTGGAGAAAAGCTCATCCACGGTGAGGGTCTCATAGTTTGTCGATTCTGGGATCGCCTGAGCCTTCACGTCCCAAACCTTCGGATCAAGAGCATGTAAAAGTTTGAGAGCACGCTCATGAACGTCATAAGGCAGTTGCGCCTTGTTTGCGCGCATCTTGTTCACGATTGTCTAGAAGCGAGAAAACATATAGTCAATGGACTCTCCAGACAACTAAACAAAGTTCTCGTACTCTCGCCGATACGTCTCAAAGAGTCTGGTCTTCACATGTGCACTACCCTCGTGGAATTTCTCTAGGGTAGACCAGATCTCGTGAGCCGTATCAAGATGTCCAACACGCTCAAACTCCGAAAGCGAGAGGCATGAGAACAAAGCATTACGCGCCTTGTTGTTCGCATCATGGCTCTCCACCTGAAGAGGAGTAGCTCGAACAACAAGAACAGCGTAGGTGTTCTCCAAACAGATCTCCCAAACACGCGAAGCTTATGCTCTGAAGATACGCGGTCATCTGGATTTTCCAATACGGGTAGTTCGACCCACTGAAAAACGGTGGTTTGCCTGAACCACGCTCCATGTCGCCTTCGCGGATCTAGAACCGGTTAAGGTGGAGAAGATCCTTAACCCACTCACCTGTTTGAGCTGTTCACAGCATGACTGCATCTAGTTAATTGGCCACACCATGCTGGGGCTTTATTTTGTTCCTCCGATCATCATTAAGTACGTGTGTCTCCAAATGGATGGGGAATTTGGCTATTATTTCTAGTGTCGATGAGTAATTTACCGTCGAAGGAGGTATAGTAGTAACTTGCTTGGCAGTTGCCTAAGCGACATCATGGTTGTAGCATTATTCTTTGATGCATTGTGTTCCCGAATTTTATTGTCGCGCCGTACTGATGATTATGTACACATATATACTATTTGGATAGCTGAGCTATCCTAAATACATATCCATTCTGGGTTCGGGCTACTATGCACATATACTAGAATATACTACAACTGATACGGAGATGACAGGCAAGTTCAAATAAAGATAATTGCTACGGAGATTCCAAGCAATGCAAATTCTTTGTTTTTCATCTTTTCAACTAGTGTCTTGCAACTAGTACGTAGTAGTATTTTCCTATCATTTGTTGTTTGCTTATGACTTTTGAATTGGAAAGTTGAGACATGCCCTCGAGGAGTTCCACCATATTGGTTGAGGAGCTCCACCAAATTGGTAAATCTGGTCCTCAGATCCAACATTTCGGTGAATCGGAATTTAGTGGAGCTTGGATGTTTGGCAAACTTTGAGTAAGGGGGTGTTTGGGACTGCTCCACAAACTCTGCTCCACAAACTCCATCGTGGATTTATTTGGCAAACTTTTTAGTGCTCTCAACTCCACCCTTTTTTCCTTGGAGCAGTTGGAGCTTTTGTTGAATCTGGAGTCGAAGGGAGCTGTCCCACTATTTTTGTTGAATCTGGAGTCGAAGGAGCTGTCCCACACTATCTCTAACGGCTCTAGCTCCTCCTCCGGTCCTCCCGTTCCTCCAAATGGTGGACGGTGGCTGCATGGGCTAGGTGAATGGCATTCCCTACGCACCGACGAACGAGTGCTCGGCAGAACCGTCAGGGCACTTGCGGTTGCGGGTTTTGCAAGTTTATCCTCTTGCCCAATGGGCTTTGCACTTCTGTGGGCCTGCTAAGCGGACTCCTCTAAAAGCCCGCCTCGAAATATCGTTCAATACAACGTCGTCTAACAATATCAGAATACTGTACTTTCGTCGAGCGCATTGGCATTCATCCAGCACATCCATCGCATCGAACAGAAACATATCAACCATACGCAATATCATGAAAGAAAATACGGACAGTAGAATCAACAGAACATATATAAACATCTCAGGTCCTTCAAAATGGATGCATTCCAGATTTCCAATTCCACACCCAAGTGGTCAAAAATAGGGCACTGGCATTTCTCCAGCAGTTGAAATAGGAGCCGTCAAAGTTTAACTGTATTTGTGCACAGCTAAACACCTAGGCATTCAATACCGACACCATAAGAACGAAAATACTGAGACGTGGATTGCACCCTGTTCAACCAGAGTGACCCAAATTGTCTAAAATGTCTTTATTAAACTGCAAAATCGAATTTATCTCTTCATGGCAAAGGCATGTCATTGCACTATGCAGTTGCTTCCTTCAGGTACGCAATGAGATCAGCTCGCTCCTGCGGCTTCTTCAGCCCAGGGAAGACCATCTTGGTTCCAGGAATGTACTGCATATAAACAAGACAAGAACAATTGAGCGCGTGTTTAGTTGAAGTCCAAAATCCAAAAAAGTGCTACAGTACCTGTCACATCGAATGTTTGCGGCCCATGCATGAAGCATTAAATGTAGACGAAAAAAAAAACTAATTGCACAGTTTGGTGGGAAATTGCGAGACGAACGTTTTGAGCCTAATTAGTCCATGTTTGGACACTAATTGCCAAATAAAAACGAAGGTGCTACAGTAGCCCCCAAATTCCAAATTCCTGGAACTAAACAAGGGCTGACATTCATCAGTTAAGAATTGCAAAATTGAAACATGTAAACAGTGTACACCAAATGCGATTAGACCATATCACGCTCCTGCGGCTACTGATGCATGCTTAAATCAGGACATTCAATAATGTTGCATGCTTAGATCAGGACATTCAATAGTGTTGCATGCAAGTGCAAAAGAGCCAAGAGATCAAATTGGCAGCCTGTGCATTAGCTACATTGATGCAATATGTCCTACCATCTTAAAGGAAACAAGTAAACAGTAGAACTAGGAACTTCAACGTAGTTACTATAGCATATAACTTGAAAACTGCATGCCTGAATTCAATGAATTAATTTAACTAATACTCCGTCCATTCCAAATTATAAGACGTTTTGACTTTTCTAGATACATAACTTTTACTTAGATAGTTAGATATACACTAGTATCTCTAGATACATTAAAGGGCGTACCCAGTGCAGAGAGCTCCCGCTCTGTGCGGGGTCTGGGGAAGGGTGTTAGTGTCAAGCCTTACCCTCGCCTGTGCAATGCGAGGAGACCACGACTCGAACCCGGGACCTTCCAGTCACAGGTGGTAAGACTCTACCGCTTGCACCAGGCCCGCCCTTCAATATCTCTAGATACATTGCAAAAAATAATATATATCTAGAAAAGCCAAAACGTCTTATAATTTGGAAGAGAGGAAGTAACTAAACAAGGAAGTTTGAAGTAGAGAAAGTTCAAAGGCCTACAAAAACCATGTCAGAAAAACCAGGTGTTTGCTACAGGATACATTGGTATTCAGTAGGAATACGTGACCATACATTGCAACGGAATGTACACCTTGTTGCGCGGTCACTGAACAACTTGTGGCCGGACATTTATATAACAGACTCATCATATATTCTAATATGTATTGGAATCGATGCACAAACGTGCGTGATTCTGACTTATGAGCATGGGTCATGAGTCAAGTCCTAGGACAAGGAGAGACACAAGGGCATCGTGGGAAGTAAAAAAGACAGACTGAAGAATCATTTCGCTCTTTAACATTAAATGTAGAAAATAACAGCTGACACTAGGAATGCAAGTTCCATTTATTTTACTGGCATATAACTTGAAGCAACTGCATACCTGAATCCAACGACTAGTATAACTAATAACTAAATAAGGAAGTTGAAAGCTGAGCAAAGTTTGAAGGCCTACACAGACCAGACTCAAAACAAATCTCCTAGTAGTTGCTAGAAGTAGTAAGGATGCCACCCTAACCCTCGAGTTTCAAAGCCTTGAGTTATTTCTGAACATAATATTGGTCAAATAACAATCAGCAAGTTTGACATACATGTATTGGTACTATAGGATACATTTGTACTCTTGTTGAATAGAGCCTAAGGGAATAAAACTTCACAACAGTAACTATGTTCCCTTCCATGTGCCAAATAAGAAACACTGAAGAGACTAAGCATATCAAGTAGCTAAAGGGATTGTTCACAGTACCTTCTTAGGGTTAAGCAGGTACTCATACAAAGTGTTCTCCTCCCAGACCACAGCCTTGTTTTTGTTTCCCGCAGAGTAGGAGTAGCCTGCAGTGGTACCCGACTGCCTCCCAAAAAGACCATTCAAGTTTGGACCTGCAAATGCAAATTACATACATGGTTTGCATGTGGTCAGACATGAACAAACATACACTATCAAGCATGCATAAATGGTCATCGGTTTTACAGATTAGCAAAACCAGCGGTGAACACTATTCCTTATTTCCGGTAAGGACCAGGAAAATCTAATGAAATAATGAGAACTCATTCTTACACTTCTAGTTTGTATACATTTTTTATATAGCAGTTCTAATTGCATAGTGAGTTGCACGAGTAAAAGCTCCCTACTGATCAACTGCTGTAAGCCCAAAACAACGGATGGGCCTGCAGGTCACATAACAGGCACAACCATCACCAAATCTATAGGCGATCAATCTAGCCAGACTAACAGACTTATCATCACCTGATCCTGACCATTTCAACACAACGCGAAATCGGAACAAGCAAGCCCTGCTATACTAACGCCAGGCACAAAATCAAACAGGCCACCCAGACCGCAGGCGTTTTGATGCTAAAACAAGACAAGCAAACGAACTAGCCTGAGTTCCTATCACCAATCCCACAGCAATCGAACAGATCTAAGCGCCAAGCGCACCACTCCCGCACGGAGCATCCCACATGCGCAAGAAATCTGCATCTACAGCTACCCGAGCTCAGATCTGATCCGCTAAGGGCACGGAGGGTCGCTCACCTTGCTTGTGGCCGGCGCCCTTCTCGACCGTGTGGCACTGCGCGCACTTGGTCTTGAAGATCTTCTCACCCGCCTTGGGGTTCCCGGGGGGAGCCTCCGAGAACGACGCCATCGCCGCACGCAGAGATCTGAGTCTGAGCCGACGGAGAAGAAGAGAGGAGGAGGCCAACCGCAACTTCTGGTGTGCCCTTTGGTCTTTGGACTTGCGCCGAATTCGCAGGGATCCGGTTGTTCTATAGACCTGGCGTGGAGGTCGCGCAAGTACGGAACTGCCCCTGAGAAGGGCTGAGCCGCTGAGGGCCGAGGGGTGGAAAAGGTGCAGAATGGGGAAAGGGGAGGGTTCGAGAAGGTTTCCGTGGCTTGGAGAATAAGGAAACCGTGGGCGGCGCGTGGACGGGAAGCGTGGGCGCCCCACGCCCCGTTCGGTTGGGGACGGCGGCGGGCCGAGTTTTTGGAAAAAAAATTGCACGCATGAGGAACATAGAGGAAACAAACACGTGACGATCATCCGAGCCATGTATGCAAGTTTTTTCGGCGGCTCGTGAGTCGTGATGGGTCCCGGTTGGTGCCTCCGTGCCTGGTGGTGGTGGACTGGTGGCTGGCTCGCCAGATTGGCTGTGGAATCACGACCGTCGGTGGTAAGGGGACGGACGAGTGAACGGTCCTCGTGCGTTCGCGGATTAATTAATTATTATTAAACAAAATCTGTTGAAAGCGCATGGCGTGCGACACGGATCACGTAGCTTTTTTCATCAGGTGAGTATGAGTAAAAGAAGCTTTCATGGACGACAACACAACAAAATCCCAACCTTTCATCAGATTTCAGCAGCTGGATACACAGCGCTGGCAATCAGCACCAGAAGAAACGTACTCCTACAGGGCAAACACAGGCATGCGAACAGTCAATTGCTAGCTACAGAAGAGCATCTTTCAATGGTTCAAGAGCAGCATGTGACTGCAAATCGTGGGGATAATTCCTGGGTCGATATTCTCCAGCTAAAGCTCCAATTATTCCAGGTATATACAATGTTCTAGTTAAATCCAGGACAGTACTACTACGGTGCCATTAGACATTAGTGGATAGTATATGATACACGTTGCTACATACACTACTACGGTTCCTAACACAGGTGACAAGTCACAAGAGTCCTGGTAAACTACAACAGATAACATCAATCGTTGCTTGATGGTTGCGGCTTCTAGGTCACGTCAGACGCTTAGCTTTACCTTCACGGCTTCAGAGTTATGCTGCAGCATCCTAGATACTGGCAGCCTGTTCGCTTGTTCGTAAACGATCGTAAATTTCCAGCCGGGACCAGTGTTTTTCTCTCACACCAAACCAGCCAGCAGTAAATAATCCATGATACGATACGTTCCGAACAGGCTGTGGGTTAGTGCCAGTGTGGAGCTGAGGCCCTGCAAAAGACATGGTGAGTCGGAATACATAGAAATGCACAAGAGAAGATTAACGGCAAAGTGAAAACGTGGAGACAGGTCCTGGTGCTCCCTATCGAATATCGATAGCTTACTTTGGCTCTCCCCCCAACAGGTGAATTCTTGACATTCGGTTTCTTCTCAGTGCAATATGGTCGGCCCCGTGGCAGAGGCGGAGGTGGAGGCTGGACGATCAGGTGAGCATTAGTAAATTATAGGTTCAGGTTATAGACTTCAGAATTGTAATAGCCCTCATGAATGCTTCTTTGTTTTGCGAAGCAGAATGGCTGTTATGCAAAGAAAAGGGTAAAAGCTCATACCACAGAAGCCTTTGTCTTTACATTTCCGGTCTGTGAAGGGGTCGCATTATTTGATTTGTATGCATGGGCCCGAACTCCCTCCTGCAAGCCCAACAAATTGATAATTATTGGTAAATAAGCCCACTAGTGAAGAGTTTCAGTATCTTCATTTTTTATTGAAATAGAGTAGTTTCATTATCTCATTTTCAGAATTCAGATCCAGTGTCTCCAATAAAAATAATTACAGGTTTCACTCACTTAAGCTAACCAACTCCTTTGGACCCGAAGGGACCAATTCTTGTCAGCCTATTGGTTTCTATGCAATTAACCTACCCGAAATTTCTACATGTTTCAATAGATGTTGATTACATTTAGGGAAGCATTACTGTATTCAGGATGAAAAGGTCAGGGTTTTGAAACGCAGAACTAGACAGTTCAGTGTTGACCAGCCAGTTACTAGCAGTTGTCATAACCATGGCTTAGTACTATCAAGAGATCCCATGCATGGAAGGTTCTAGACTTGAGAGTAAAGCTGGAAACGACAATTCCACAACCCATAATTAGGGGTACACCAGTTTTCAGTATGAGCCTACTCTTTGTATAATGTAATGTCATCAGTTCAACCTTTGTTCTAGGGCTTTTTTGTGAAAAAGAGAAGCTAACTTATACAGTTATAGTCAGTTTATCAGTAATGTATATAGAAGCATTTAGGATACCATTGTTAGCCACTGAAGACTCACATGTAGCGGACCAGCAGCACGAAAGGAAAAGAAGCTTCTCACCTCCTTGTTTGGCTTTTTGAATTTTTCAAGACCTTGATCATCTCTAACATTGGAAGTCAACATTTTCCTTGAAGGCAGGTTAAAAGGACTGAAAAATAAGACAAGGTGGTTAGAGCAACAAAAAAAAAGGGGGCAGACCCGGTGCCGAGGAGGCTCCCACATGAGTGGGGTCTGGAGAATGGATAAACCGAGACAAACCTTTCCCCGCAAAATCTGCGGAGAGGCTGCTTCGAACCCACGACCTGGTGACTCAGTGAGACAGCTCTCACCACTGCACCAGGCCTAACAGAATTAACCCAATTTGAAATCCAAATAACTCCAGGTCCCTAGTAGAATTATTCTGAAAAGAGCTCCATGGTAGAATTAACACCTTGACTTTTGCTTTCTATCCACTTGAAGTTCCACCGTTTCTTTTGCATAACTGCCAAACAACACAAAAAGGCAGTCAAATCTCAGTGCAAGTTATTTAGTCGAGTATCCCTGAAAAAGTTAGCTACAACCACCTTAGGTTTTCTAGCTTGCTACTTCTAACAACCCGGGGAGTTATTTCCTTTTGGGGAGTAACCTGCATGAAGAACAGAGTGGGAACAAGCATTCAAATGAGAAAATATATTGTCTTTTAAATTAACTATCTTAATCTCTTTCTGCATTTTAGAATAGAATTAATACATTTATGTGATGTGTTAAGAACTCCGCCTATGGTGGGACGCCTTTGGTGTCCTAGCATAGCAGGTCCCAAGCCCTGGTAAAGGAGGAGGATTGTGTTAGGCATGGCGAGCCAATGTAAAAACTTAGCCACCTTAATGGAGATGAAACCCGAAAGAAAATCGTTGGGGCGTAACCCTCTTAGCGACATGCCATATCGGAACCCGGGTATGGTGTTAAATGGGCAAGGGCCGGGTCGTCACCCCCGTGACGCACCGTGTCGTGATCTGCGCATGGTGTCAAGTGAACAAGGATCAGGTCGTCGCTTCCTTAGTGGTGCGCTACATCGGCGCCCGGATGTAGTAAAAAATGAGCAAGGGTCTTCACATCTGAGTCGACGAGTGCGAAGGGTAAGGAAGCTAGTCGAACCAACTAGGATCCGTTTAGGTAGTTGGAATGTAGGGTTGCTTACAGGTAAGCTAAGAGAATTAGTTGATACCGCGACTAGGAGGCGTGTAAATATATTATGCGTTCAAGAGACTAAATGGAAGGGTCAGAAGGCGAAGGAGGTGGACAATACAGGTTTCAAGCTTTGGTACACAGGGACAGTTGCGAATAGAAATAGAGTACGAGTTTTGATTGATAAGAGCCTCAAGAATGGTGTGGTGGGAGTGAGAAGGCAAGGAGATAGGATTATCTTAGTCAAGCTTGTCGTTGGTGATATGGTCTTGAACGTAATTAGTGCGTATGCCCCCCAACTAGGCCTCGACGTGAGTGCTAAGAGATAGTTCTGGGAAGACTTAGATGACCTGGTTAGAGCTGTACCTATTAGTGAGAAGTTTTTTATAGGAGGAGATCTTAATGGGCATGTAGGTACTACAAACGCAGGTTTCGAAGCAGTTCATGGAGGTTTTAGGCATGCTAGTAGGAATCAGGAGGGGGAGGAAGTTCTGGACTTCGCGGTAGCTTTTGACCTGATGATAGCCAACACTTTCTTTAGAAAGAGAGAATCTCATCTAGTGACCTTCAGTAGCGGACAACACTCTAGCCAGATTGACTTTGTCCTCGCAAGAAGAAACGATAAACGAGTATGTTTGGGTTGCAAGGTGATACCAGGGGAGTGTGTTGTTTCTCAACATAAGTTTTTGGTGGTAGACTTTCGTTTTCAGGTGCATGCCCGTAGGGATAAACAAGCTAAGATTGAAAGAACAAAGTGGTGAAAACTGAAAGGGGAGACATCAAAGGTATTCAAAAAAAAGGGTTATCAAAGAGGGCTCTTGGAAGGAAGAAGAGGACATAAACAACATGTGGGAGAAGATGGCAACCAACATTCGAAAGGTGGCCTCAGAGGTGTGTGGAGTAAGCAAAGGAAGTGGAGGCAAGGCTAAAGATACTTGGTGGTGGAACGAGGAAGTTCAAAGGGCTATTAAGGAGAAGAAAGAATGCTATAGATGCTTGTACCGTGACAGGAGTGTGGACAACATAGAGAAGTATAAGGTGGCAAAGAAGACTGCAAAGCGAGCTATAAGTGTGGCAAAGGGTAGAGCGTACGATGATCTGTACCAACATTTGAGTATGAAGGAAGGAGAGAAAGACATTTATAGGATGGCTAGGGTTCGTGAGAGAAAGACAAGGGACTTCAACCAAGTTAAGTGCATTAAGGATGAAAGGGAGCATCTCTTGGTGAAGGAGGATGAGGTCCGACATCGATGGCAAGAGTGTCGGTGTTTCGTACAAGCACCGGCAAGTAAATTTATAGTAATGCGTGTTAGGCTCGGATGGTGCGCTAAAGGACACAAGATTTATACTGGTTCGGGCCGAAAGTCCCTACGTCCAGTTTGTTGCTGCTCGTGTTATTAGCACCATGAACGGTTTGTAGTAAGGGGTACAAACGATCGAGAGAGGGACTGGTCCCAAGTCTCTGATGAAAGGGTTGAAGGGATGTCAAGAGG